TTTATTGTAGAGTAGTTTGTAGCTTAGCTCACTACACAAATCAAGTAGCTTGCCCATCACTGTCCAGTTATTTGCTGAGTGATTAATGTAACCAATATGTTGATACGTTTTGCATTATAACCAGCCTGTATTTGCCTAAAGCAACAAGCCACTTTTTTGATTACCACTGGTTTGTCTCACTAATTCTCTCTAGATCTCTTGGGGGCTCAAACTGAAGAGTGTTTGTTCCAAGGAGCACAAGAGGTGACCCCAATGAAGCAGCAGCAGCCAACCCTGTGGCCAGCATTCCCATTCTTCAGACTAGAATCATTGCCTCCCTGCCCCTGGTCGTCTTGGTTCAGGTGGTTGACTACGGCTCTGCAGAGGATCAAGTGCTCTCCAAACGGTTTGGCCTGAGACTGGAGGGCAATGATGATGCGCCTGTCCTGGATAAGGAAGTTGCCGAAGTCTCCTGGATGCTGTAGATGGTTAAGATAAGATAAGATAAGATAAGCTTTATTTATCTCACATAGGAGAAATGTACATGTCACATTTGGCATGGATAGAGACACTCAGATTGTGCAAAGGGAGGAAATGTGCAAACATGTTACATGCAGGATATATATGTACAATAAAAGTGACAATAATTATGTACAACAAAAGTGACAAGTGTCAATTGGAAACAGTGTCAATAGTAGTGCAGGTTTTCACACAGTGATCATTTAAAGTGACTTATTGTACAGTCTGACAGCGGTAGGGATAAAGGCCCTGCGGTAGCGCTCCTTCCTACACTGAGGGTGTCTCAGTCTTCCACTGAAGGAGCTCCTCAGCTCCTCTACAGTCCTGTGCAGTGGGTGGGAGGTATTGTTCATGATGGAGGTGGCTTTGGCTAGCACCCTCCTGTCCCTCACCTCCTCCACAGAGTCCAGGGAGCAGCCCAGAGTGGAGCTGGCCCTCCTGACCAGCTTGTTAAGTCTGTTTCTGTCCCGCTCTGTGCTGCCCGGGGCCCAGCACACGGCAGCGTAGTAAATGGCAGAAGCTACCACAGAGTCATAAAAAGTCCTGTGCAGAGGCCTGCTCACTCCGAAGGACCTCAGCCTCCTCAGAAGGAAGAGGCGACTTTGGCCCTTCTTGTGCAGGGCGTTTGTATTATGGGACCAGTCCAGTTTATTGTTAATGTGAACACCCAGGTACTTGAAGCTGTCCACCAGCTCAATGTCCTCCCCCTGGATGTTCAGCAGCGTGTGGGAAAGTGGTTTTCTCCTGAAGTCGATGATCATCTCCTTGGTCTTACTGGTGTTCAAGCACAAGTGGTTGCACTCACACCAGTCGACAAAGTCCTTGATAACCGACCGATATTCCAGTTCGCTCCCCCCAGACACACAGCCCACGATGGCGGAGTCATCGGAGAACTTCTGCAGGTGACAGCTGTGTGTGTCGTGTGTGAAGTCTGAGGTGTAGGTGAAGAGAAACAGTGAGAAGACAGTGCCCTGAGGGGCCCCAGTGCTGCAGACGACCACCTCAGACTCACAGCTGCGCAGCCGCACGTACTGTGGTCGGTCTGAGAGCTAGTTGATGGTCCATGCAGTGAGGCTACTGTCCACTCCCGCGTCCTCCATCTTCCCCTGCAGCAGTGCCGGCTTGATGGTATTGAAAGCGCTGGAGAAGTCGAAAAACATGACCCTCACAGCGCTCCCGGCGGGCTCCAGGTGGGCTCCTGGTGGGAGAGCGTCCGCTGCAGGAAGTAGATGCCGGCGTCCTCTACTCCGATGTTGGATCTGTAGGCGAACTGCAGCGGGTCCAGGGTGGGGCGGTTGTGAGGGTAGTAGTGGCCCCTAGGGGAGCCAAAGCCAGAGCTCAGGTCTCCAAACTGGTGAATGTGCACTGCTTTGGTCTCAATTGAGTTTTTGTCAAAGCCACGGAGCTGAAGGACGACTGACAGCGTGTCAAAAGAGGTTTCTTGGTAAAACAGCACCTGCCAAATATCTCTATCTACAGGCGGATCACTGACTTCCTGAAGTACAGGAAGCAGCGTGTGCGTCTGGGGAAGAATGTCTCGGACTCTCTGATTATAAATACAGGGGCCCCACAGGGCTGTGTTCTTTCTTCCCTGCTCTTCTCCCTGTACACCAACCACTGCACCTCCAGCCACAACTCTGTGAAGCTGATAAAGTTCGCGGCCGACACCACCCTCATTGGACTCATCTCCAACAATGATGAGTCCGCCTACTGGAGGAAGGTGGACTAGCTGGTGTTCTGGTGCAGTGGTAACAACCTGGAGCTGAATGCCCAAAAGACAGGGGGGATGATTTTTGTCTTCAGGAAGAACACAGTCCCCCCGCCCCCACCCTCCCTGATGGACTCCCCCATTACCTCTCCGGAGTCCTTTTGTTTCCTGGGCACCACCATCACCCAGGACCTCAAGTGAGAGCCGACCATCTGCTCCCTCATCAACAAGGCCCAGAAGTAGATCTACTTACTGAGGCAGCTCAGGAAAGCCAAGCTGCCTGCACAGATGTTGGTGCAGTTCTACACGGCCATCATCAGAATCAGAATCATTTTTATTGCCACGTAAGTAATAGGGTATAATATTTTTCCCGAAAATGAGACGTATCAAATCCCGGGAAAAGACGACGCCTTTCCCAGGAAATCCCGGGAAATAGCTGTTGTTTGTAGTTGTTGTTTTTAGCCCAAGTAATGTATGATATCACTCAAATATATAATCCAACAAAAGCTGCCATCTCCACTAGTGTTTCACCAAGCGACTTGCTAGCTTTTCTAAAGTAGCCATAGCGTTTTCAGACGTTTTGTTGATGGGCTTTCTTCAGGAATTTCACTATTATGAGATTCTAAATGTCTGCGCAATCCACTTGTCGACCTGTGACGTGCGGTGTGGTTTGGAGGCACTGACTTCAGCCCAATCAGATGAACATATATCATATAAATCATATAAATCAACCTACAAAGCGGCTTATTCACAATTAGTTTGGCTACAGCAGAATGTTTTACATGGCCCGCATTGTTTGCTCAAACAAAACGCAAAAGTTCGAAAAAGGCACATTTCCAATTGTGTTATGGGTCTTACCTTAGTTATTAATGAACAGCACAGACCACTTCAGTTCAGACCAGTTTCATGTTTAAGCACAGATATGTAATCCCCCATTTGGAAATAAGCCCAAAGAGTTTTAAAGCGTAAAACAAAACGAGTGCCACCTCCATAAACTCCTCTGTGTTTTCGCTGCAGCCGGCTCTCGGGCGCATCCAATTTCTAATATCAACTTTCTTACCCTTCTCCTCTCTTCCTTATCATTCCTATCGTCATTGGAAGCAGAACATTACCCTAAATGCATTTTATATGATCTTAAAATGTGTTATATGTATGTTAGCCAAACCTGTTGCTGCCCTTAGCAGATGGAAAAAAGAAAGGAGCTTTCTGATAGAATTGGACGTAGCCAAATTCTGGGCTCACATGTGCCCCGTACCCTGAGGCTAGCCTCATTACAAGTCATGGTTTAGCGCGATTAAGACCCATATTTGTTGTCAAAAACACAATTTATGAGCCATCCTCTCAGCTGTAGACATGTTGATTGTAAATGAAATATGTTTGAACTTTGAACAACAATAAACGTGCTCTATAATAGGAGCGCACTGGATTTTTAAAAAAAACTTTCATTTCCCGTTTCCCGTCATAACATTTCCCGGGAATCGGGAAATAGTTTTGATCAGATTTCCCGGGAATCCCGTGTCCCGGGATTAAACCCTAGTAAGTAACAAGAAGTCACAGACTTGGAAATTGCTTTGGCTCAGTGCAACAGTCAGAAAGAGATCATAAAAAATAAAGAGTAAAAAACACTTCTAAGGAATACATCCATCCATCCATCCATCCATTTTCTTTTGCTTTATCCGTTGCCGGGTCGCGGGGGCAGCAGTCTAAGCAGAGACGCCCAGACTTCCCTATCCACACACACTTCCTCCAGCTCATCCGGGGGGACCCCAATGCGTTCCCAGGCCAGCTGAGAGACATAGTCCCTCCAGCGTGTCCTAGGTCTTCCGCGGGGCCTCCTCCCGGTGGGACGTGCCCGGAACACCTCCCCAGGGAGGCGTCCAGGAGGCATCCGGAATAGATGCCCGAGCCACCTCAACTGGTTCCTCTCGACGTGGAGAAGCAGCGGCTCTACTCCGAGCTCCTCCCGTGTGACTGAGCTCCTCACCCTATCTCTAAGGGAGCGCCCAGCCACTCTGCGGAGGAAGCTCATTTCGACCGCTTGTATCCGCGATCTCGTTCTTTCGGTCATTACCCAAAGCTCATGACCATAGGTGAGGGAGGGAACAAAGATTGCCCGGTAAATCGAGAGCTTTGCCTTTCGGCTCAGCTCCCTCTTTACCACAACGGTCCGATACAGCGACCGCATCACTGCGCACGCTGCACCGATCCGCCTGTTAATCTCACGCTCCATTCTTCCCTCACTCGTGAACAAGACCCCGAGATACTTGAACTCCTCCACTTGAGGAAGGACCTCTCCACCCACCTGTAGAGGGCAAGGCACCTTTTTCCGGTCGAGCACCATGGCCTCGGATTTGGAGGTGCTGATTCTCATCCCAGCCGCTTCACACTCGGCTGCAAACCGCCCCAGTGCATGCTGCAGATCCTGGTTCGTTGGACATCGTCCGCAAACAGCAGAGATGAAATCCTGTGGTCTCCGAACCTGACCCCCTCCGACCCCTGGCTGCGCCTAGAAATTCTGTCCATAAATACAGTGAACAGAACCGGTGACAAAGGGCAGCCCTGTCGGAGGCCAACATTCACCGGGAACAGGTCTGACTTACTGCCGGCAATGCGAACACAGCTCTGGCTCCGGTCATACAGGGATCGGATGGCCCTCAGCTGAGGACCTCCGACCCCGTACTCCCGGGGAACCCCCCAAAGGACACCCCGGGGAACACAGTCGAACGCCTTCTCCAAATCCACAAAGCACATGTGGACAGGTTGGGCGAAACTCCCATGAACCCTCGAGTATCCGATGGAGAGTATAGAGCTGGTCCAGTGTTCCGCGACCGGGACGAAAACCACACTGTCCAAGGGGACACAGCAAGTGTCCAAGGGGACAGTAGACCTTACAAGTGTCCAAGGGGACACAGCAAGTGTCCAAGGGGTCAGAGCAAGAGGGACCACCACCCCAGTCCAAGGGGACATTGGCACCAAGTGTCCAAGGGGACAGAGCAAGTGTTCCAAGGGGACACAGCAAGTGTCCAAGGGGACAGAGCAAGTGTCCAAGGGGACACAGCAAGTGTCCAAGGGGACACAGCAAGTGTCCAAGGGGACACAGCAAGTGTCCAAGGGGACACAGCAAGTGTCCAAGGGGACAGAGCAAGTGTCCAAGGGGACAGAGCAAGTGTCCAAGGTGACAGAGCAAGTGTCCAAGGGGACAGAGCAAGTGTCCAAGGGGACAGAGCAAGTGTCCAAGGGGACACAGCAAGTGTCCAAGGGGACACAGCAAGTGTCCAAGGGGACAGAGCAAGTGTCCAAGGGGACACAGCAAGTGTCCAAGGGGACACAGCAAGTGTCCAAGGGGACACAGCAAGTGTCCAAGGGGACAGAGCAAGTGTCCAAGGGGACAGAGCAAGTGTCCAAGGGGACACAGCAAGTGTCCAAGGGGACACAGCAAGTGTCCAAGGGGACAGAGCAAGTGTCCAAGGGGACACAGCAAGTGTCCAAGGGGACAGAGCAAGTGTCCAAGGGGACACAGCAAGTGTCCAAGGGGACAGAGCAAGTGTCCAAGGGGACAGAGCAAGTGTCCAAGGGGACACAGCAAGTGTCCAAGGGGACAGAGCAAGTGTCCAAGGGGACAGAGCAAGTGTCCAAGGGGACAGAGCAAGTGTCCAAGGGGACAGAGCAAGTGTCCAAGGGGACACAGCAAGTGTCCAAGGGGACAGAGCAAGTGTCCAAGGGGACAGAGCAAGTGTCCAAGGGGACACAGCAAGTGTCCAAGGGGACACAGCAAGTGTCCAAGGGGACAGAGCAAGTGTCCAAGGGGACAGAGCAAGTGTCCAAGGGGACAGAGCAAGTGTCCAAGGGGACAGAGCAAGTGTCCAAGGGGACAGAGCAAGTGTCCAAGGGGACAGAGCAAGTGTCCAAGGGGACAGAGCAAGTGTCCAAGGGGACAGAGCAAGTGTCCAAGGGGACAGAGCAAGTGTCCAAGGGGACAGAGCAAGTGTCCAAGGGGACAGAGCAAGAGAAAAAAGAGCGAGGTGTATGTAAAGATTAACATTACGCGAAAGATAAATGGTAGATGTACGATCAGGAAACAATTATTTAAATTAATACATGAAAAAAATTACACATGTTTGTTAATAATCATTGTCATTAACAAACACTTATAACCAGGACTACAGCATATATCAATACATGTTTAATAATGTTGTAAATATATTAATATATATATTATTCATTGTATTTCCAATGGAAAACGGACCCAACACGCGTCGACGGAACAAATAGGATTGTTTCTATTTCGTCCGTCCGCGTCCGTTGCACCCTCCGTTGATGGAATCCGGATGTTGGAGGCAGTGGAGCCACTTCCATTCACCCTCATGGAAATAACGGAGACGGAGATGAAACGGACATGTTTGGACGGATCCGTCGTCCGTATCTCCATGAGGGTGAATGGAAGTGGCTCCACTGCCTCCGCATGCGTCCGTATTCCGTCAACGGAGGGTGCAACGGACGCGGACGGACGAAATAGAAACAATCCTATTTGTTCCGTCGACGAGTGTCGGGTCCGTTTTCCATTGAAAATACAATGGAATAATATATTGATATATGCTGTAGTCCTGGTTATAAGTATTTGTTAATGACAATGATTATTAACAAAGTGTGTAATTTTTTTCATGTATTAATTTAAATAATTGTTTCCTGATCGTACATCTACCATTTATTTTTCGCATAATGTTAATACGTTAATCTTTACATACATCTCGCTCTGTCCCATGGATCTATTATAATAACTGGATAGGGTATTACAGCTTGTAGCTGAATAACTCATGTGCTCGGGGGATTCTCGCGGTACTGCAGACTAAACCAGACTAAATTCACGTGGGCTACCCAGAAATTTTCCCCATAGAACTCAATGCATATTAAAACAGCTCAACCTCAGCTGAAAGAGAACCTACAGCTTTCATAAAGGTCGGATTTTGTGGGGATTTTAGTGTCCCTTGTCATCCTGAACTTTTTTTCTTCTTAAATCCTTCGGTTTTGTTTAAATCCACACTTTAGTGCCACAAACTCTGCTCGTCTGGCTCTCGCTCTAACTCCCGCTCTGATGAACTGCTCTGATTGGTCAGAGCGCGGCCGAGCCCCTCTGTGCACGTGCGTGAGACCCGGTGTGAGACCCACACACGCGTGTTTAGCGCAACGCATTATGGGAGATAATACACTGCGCAGAACCGGGAGGACCAGACGATGCCCAAATACAGGCGACTTTCCCATAGATCTTTGAGAGTTCCAGGCGACTTCCGCTAATCTTTCAGCCCCCATGCCGTCACAAAGCGCCACTGAGCACAACCATTCATTTGAATAGGGCGCCATCTTGGATCGCCGGGGCTTGCTCTGTCCCCTCTACCTGCGAGGCGCTCTCTCTCACACACACACACACACACACACACACACACACACACACACACACACACACACACACACACACACACACACACACACACACACACACACACACACACACACACACACACACACACACACACACACACACACACACACACACACACACACAGGATATGTTAGAGTTCTTTTCTCTCTCCCCTTTTTCCAATTGCTTTCAATAAGTTTTGCTTCATCCATCGCGACGTCCTCAATGCTTCAATATGCTGTGCTTTGCACTGATCATAGCCACAGCTCATTCAAATCACACACCGCTTCTTCTATTTAAAACTATAGCGGCTGCCTGTTGCCTAAAGCCGCGGAGAGGCGAGTTGGGTCCGATAAAAGTGTATGACGCGCTAAATAAGTATAGAAAACAAACGAAGAGGCTGGATCATAATAATCGCTGCGGTCACAGGCCCAAACACACATGCACGCACACACACGCGCCTCCCACCACACACACACACAGGCGCTCTCACGCACACGCACACATGTACGCCGACAACACATGACTCCTCCATCAGCCAAACATTCATTTATTCACACAATGCCCAAACGTGTCTCCTACAAAAACAAAGCAGGCTGATAAACGCACAGCCAGAGCTGCTGCTGCTGCAGCCGGTTTGACCACTAGTCTTTTTTATGGACGTCCGACGGACAGCAGCCAACGCGCGTCAACGGAGACGCGCCCGGTGGAGTCCAGGCCTCAGTTTAGTCCTCCGAGACCGCGGCTCCTGCCGTCCTGTCTCCCTCCAACAGCGCGCAAGTGTGTGCGTGCGCATGAGTGTGTGCGTGCGCATGAGTGTGTGCGTGCGCATGAGTGTGTGCGTGCGCATGAGTGTGTGCGTGCGCATGAGTGTGTGCGTGCGCATGAGTGTGTGGAGTGTGTGCGTGCGCATGAGTGTGTGCGTGCGCATGAGTGTGTGCGTGCGCATGAGTGTGTGCGTGCGCATGAGTGTGTGCGTACCACGGAGGATGTGTATCTTCCTCCGTGGTAAGTTTTGTCTGTTTATATTAAGATTTCATAGAGTAATCCGCGTTTAAAGGCAGTTTTGATGCTACTACGCGCTCGGACGCTTAGGCGACGGTCTGTTGTTAGCTTTGGTTTGAAAATAGTTCTGGAAAATCTTCAGAACAGCCTCAGTCCGCATTACGTCATGTTAGCTTCAACTACACTGGCCATTCGGATTTAAGATACTGTCTGACGCTTTCTAGAGGTAAAGTTAAATTTGATGTGAAATGATGGATCGAAATTGATAATTTTCAATATTAATATAACTTATTTTTCTCAACGTCAAATGATTGTTTATGAGTGAAAATGCATTGCCCCATTTTCTGTAACAATTATTATTGAGGAGACATGGACAGAAAGGTTGGTAGCACACAGGCTCCAGCTCGTGATGTAAGAAAACATAATATTGACACATGTCTCGTGTATTACTTTGAGTAAGTTTTAGTGAAGCAATATTACCGATTTTGTATTTGTTATGTGGATAAAAAACTCTTCTACTATAATACTTTCACCTCTGTTGAATTAACAATAATAGGACATGAAGATTAAACTGTGTTTTGTTATTTTTAAGGAAGAAAGAAACGAGGTGGACATCAATCACAATTAATGTTTGAGAAAAGGGTAAATACTTTGAAATGACTGCATACAAAGCACATGCAAGACGGGCACCACCGTCCATGGGACCATAGGTCAGGTATGTTTGATTAGACATATAACTGTACAAGATATTCTTCAAATAAAGGCTCTGCTTATTGAGTTCATTCAAAAGTGTATGAGCCTCTCAATGGTGTTCCGTGCATTAAAAAACAAGATCCTACACTGCCTTACTTGCATTGTCGAATGTATTTACAAATGTTACATGTTTAAAGCCATTCAAGTAGGACAGCATGCAGGCTCCTTTGTTTATGAATGGAAATACAATAATAGACACTCATTGCCTACCAGCCTATCTCAGAACAGGTACTCTCATATTGCCAGCAGTTTCTGATGGGTTTATAGATTTTTCAAGACCCACAGAATATTGTGTACTATGACTGGAATCCGAAACCAGATTCTGAAAGAATGGACTGTACTTCAGCAGCAAAAAGAATTGTGTTTCTAGCTTGTTTCGTTCCCCTGTAATCCCCAGTCGAGTCAAGTAGAGGGAAGTTTTACTGAAATCACCAAAAAGCTGAGAAAAACGAGGCACAATAAGTGCATCTAGCTGTTTTCAAACAATCCAGAGCGCTACTGCCACCTGCTGGCTCGATTAAAAAATGCTCTCAAGCGAATCCCCATACATATTAGATATAATAGACATCTGGGAACAAGAAAATAGAGAAACGCAATTGCCGTATTAGTGCGTCAATGGCACACAACGAGTTAACCAACAGCTGTCAGGTGAAATTCTGCCACTGTGTGATCAATAAAGTGCTAACTTCTCTATCTCCTCCTTCAGGACTGGAGTCTCAGACATGGCCTTAGTAAGAACAGGGGCAAAGTCCAGACATGACACATGTGCATGTTCCTGAAGAACCCCGATCATCACAGCTGCAGAAGGTGAGCAAAATTATAAGTGCATCCAGACACAAACTGTAGTTCGTGTCTGGATATAGATGGTTTCAGCGGAGGAGCAAAGACCTGCTGTGTCCATGCCCCTCATCACAGGGAATTTACACAGTAGGCGTTAACAGCCCATAAGCGTTGACTGCGCGTAATATATTTGTTTGCAGTATCTACACTGGCCGTGCGTGCAGGTCCGCGGCTTCTGATGCTGTCCTTGTGTAGTCTATGGAGCAGTGTAGAGGACAGTACGGGCCAGAGGACTGATGAAAATATCCCCATTGGTTAACATGGGAAAAAGTTACGCACGTCTGCTGCGCGTATAACGCTGGCAATGTTTTTTAGATGGTAAAAAGCTGCTGTTACTGATTTGATGTGGCTATTAAAATTTAAGTCTGAGTCCAGTACAGTGAAGGAGTGAGTCCACTGGTCCATGTTCTCCTGCTGTCAGTGAGGCATAGATCTGAGTATTAGTTTACTATTTGTGTGACAACAAATAATGGAAACTAAGGCTGTTCTAAAAAAAAAAGTTTTACCCATTCTCCATTTGACCCAAGTGATGACTCCTGCTTGGATTGTACACATTTTCTTTTCATTCTGCAGTCAATATGGAGTTAGCTGAGACTAAGCCTCTCCTCACATGTTAAGCCTAGCGTACATCGACAGAGAAACTGGGGACAACTAGTTGCAAGGCGGCTTTTGGCAACTGAGAGGAGATGGTGGGAGATGATCAGTTGCCGAAATCGGTCGATGTGCGCGCTCTTACAACTGGAGATGATCAGTCGGTCTCCAGTTCCAGTCAGTTGCCCGTGTTCTACTTTTCGGCAACTAGTTGTCCTCAGTTGCTCCGATGTGCGCGCTCCATGCGCCGCTCCGACAACGTGTGTGTATTGCGTGTATAGCGCGCCCGCAACAGTTTATGTCAGAAAACACACTGTAGTTGAGGCCAGTTGCTGTCGATGTACGCGCTGTTATTCAAGAGACTGGCCTGCGACTCAGAGTTGCCCGTTTTCGCCAGATTGTCGATGTGTGCGGGGCAGCAACTCAGAGGCGAC